GGTATAGTTGAATTTTCAAGTTCACTTCCGGTTTAAACGGGAAATCGATTTTAACTTCTGGTTGAATAACTTCCGGTGTTATAAATAAATGTCAACAAAATTTTGCTCATGGGTAGCCATCGTTATTCTACAGCCGATTTTAAAATAAAATCCAATCCGGAAGTGATACTTTGGCCGCCATGTTGATTTTCCTGAAATGCGTCAGAATCTATTCAGAGATAACGGCTTATCCGATTTTGATGAATTTGGTGTCAAATGAAAGAAAATAAAAATTAAAAAAAAACTGTGGGAGCCGATTTTTGAATTTCGCTTTTGCTTTTTTTCAACTTCCGGTTGAAATTTTTTCAAACTTTAAACGCTCATACCACGTGACCTTGACCTTGACCTTTGATGACCTTGACCTTCATAGGGTCAAAGGTCATTGACCTTGGCTATCAATTGATACTTTGACCTTTGACCTCCGACATGTACTTCCGGTTTTAAAGCTATCCGTAAAAAGCCAAATTCGCAACTTTGGACTGCTCTAGCACGTGACCTAATTAACCTAGAGGGTTAATTTTTTCGGTTTCCTAATGTGCTTCTCATGCATTTTACATAGATATAGAACAATTGCTTTTTTAAAGCAAAATTGAAATTCGTGATTTTTTCAAATTTGAGTTTTGTTTTATCATATTTATGTCTTTTTGATCTTGGTGTATGTATATCTTATGACCTATTTTATGGAGAACCTTGATATTTGGAATACAACTAGACACTTTGAATATGAATTCACCTATGGCAAAAAAATTGGGGTGGGCGTGGCTTATCCGGGTTGAATTACTAATTGTTTACATTTTGGGGCTGGGGCATAACTCGCATAGGATACGTTTGTTAAAAAAGGGACTTTGCACACAATTACCTCATCCTTTTGGCCAGTTTGTGTTAACAGCTCAGTTGTTTCAGCTTTATAGTTCCAAAAAAGGAACGGGTTTTAACATTTGGATATTTTCATTTTTCGATTTTGACCTTTGTTGACATTTGTTGACCTATATCTTTTGACTTGAATAATGTAGAAGCTTGAAATTTGAAACACAACATAACATTTGGAATATCAATTACCCTATGCAAAAAAATTAAGGTGGGCGTGGCACATCCGGGTAATATTACTCATTATTGATATTTTTGGCCAGGAGCATAACTCGCAAAGTATACGTTTGTTCAAAATGGAACTTTGCATACAATTATCTCATGAATTGAGCCACTTTGTCTTAGAAGTTCGGTTGTTTCCGCTTCTTAGTTCATAAAAAGGAACAGGTTTTGGAAATTCAAAATTTTCAATTTTTGACCTTGACCTTTATTAGGACAAAGGTCATTGACGTTGTCTATTAGTTTATACTCTCATATTTGACCTCTGACGTCTACTTTCGTTTTTATAGCTGTCCAAAAACATCCAAATTCGCAACTTTGGACTGCTCTAGCACGTGACCTAATTAACCTAGAGAGTAAATTTTTCGGTTTCCTAATGTGCTTCTCGTGTACTTACATAGATATAGAACAATTGCTTTTTTAAAGCAAAATTGAAATTCGTGATTTTTTCAAATTTGAGTTTTGTTTTACCATATTTGTGTCTTTTTGATCTTGGTGTATGTATATCTCATGACCTATTTTATGTAGAACCTTGATTTTTGGAATACAACTGGACACTTTGGATATGAATTCACCTATGACAAAAAAATTGGGGTGGGCGTGGCACATCCGGGTTGAATTACTAATTGTTTACATTTTGGGGCTGGGGCATAACTCGCATAGGATACGTTTGTTAAAAAAGGGCCTTTGCACACAATTACTTCATCCTTTTGGCCAGTTTGTGTTAACAGCTCGGTTGTTTCAGCTTTATAGTTCCAAAAAAGGAACGGGTTTTAACATTTGGATATTTTCATTTTTCGATTTTGACCTTTGTTGACATTTGTTGACCTATATCTTTTGACCTGAATAATGTAGAAGCTTGAAATTTAAAACACAACATAACATTTGGAATATCAATTACCCTATGCAAAAAAATTAAGGTGGGCGTGGCACATCTGGGTTATATTACTCATTATTGATATTTTTGGCCAGGAGCATAACTCGCAAAGTATACGTTTGTTCAAAATGGAACTTTGCATACAATTACCCCATATTGTGAGCCACTTTGTCTTAGAATTTCGGTTGTTTCCGCTTCTTAGTTCAAAAAAAGGAACATGTTTTGGAAATTCAAAATTTTCAATTTTTGACCTTGACATTTGTTGACCTTGACCTTTGTAGGATCAAACGTCATTGACGTTGTCTATTAGTTTATGCTTTCATATTTGACCTCTGACGTCTACTTTCTCTTTTATAGCTGTCCAAAAACATCCAAATTCGCAACTTTGGACTGCTCTAGCACGTGACCTAATTAACCTAGAGAGTAATTTTTTTCGGTTTCCTAATGTGCTTCTCGTGTACTTTACATAGATATATAACAATCGTTTTTTTAAAGCAAAATTGAAATTCGTGATTTTTTCAAATTTGAGGTTTTTTTTTTTACAATATTTGAGACTTTTTGAGCTTAGTGTATGTATATGTTATGATCTATTTGATGTAGAACCTTGATATTTGGAATATAACTAGACACCTTGAATATGAATTCACCTATGACAAAAAAACTTATGTGGGCGTGGCACATCCGGGTTGAATTACTAATTGTTTACATTTTGGGGCTGGGGCATAACTCGCATAGGATGCGTTTGTTCAAAAAGAGACTTTGCACACAATTACCTCATCCTTTTGGCCAGTATGTATTAACAGCTCAGTTGTTTCAGCTTTATAGTTTCAAAAAAGGAACGGTTTTTAACATTTGGATATTTTCATTTTTCGATTTTGACCTTTGTTGACTTTTGTTGACCTATATCTTTTGACCTCTATTATGTAGGAACTTGACATTTGGAACATAACGTAACATTTTGAATATTGATTAACTTATTCAAAAAAAATTGAGTTGGGCGTGGCACTTCCGGGTTAAATTACTCATTATTGACATTTTTGGCCAGGGGCATAACTCGCAAAGTATACATTTGTTCAAAATGGAACTTTTTACACAATTACCTCATATTTTGAGCCACTTTGTCTTAGAATTTTGGTTGTTTCCGCTTCATAGTTCAAAAAAAGGAACAGGTTTTGGAAATTCAAAATTTTCACTTTTTGACCTTGACCTTTGTTGGCCTTGACCTTTGTAGGATCAAACGTCCTTGGCATTGGCTATCTATTTCTACTTTTATATTTGCTGTCCTAAGTCAATTTCTGGTTTTATAGTCGTTAGCAATTTGAAATTTTACTGGCGTATATCTCTTGATCTTGACCTTTTTAGGCCTTCTCCTTTACATTGGCTATCTGCTGATACTTTCATTGTGAGGTCTGACGCCCACTTCCGGTATTAAAATCTTCAAGAAAAAGGAAAATTCTCAACTTTAGACTGTTCTTGCGCTTGATCTAATTATCGTGGAAGGTTGATTTTTTCAGGGTCTTTTGCATTTTGCTACATTTGCAAAGTCCCACTCTGTGCCACGTGTGGCTCTAGTTCTGTTCTTGAAAATGAAGAGGGGGCACTGATGCCCAGCTTGTTTAACTCATATTTAAAATTGTCAACAGTCCAGTATCTGTAGAGATCCACACCAGTTTTTTTTTTTTTTTTTTTTTTTCAAGTTTATTTATTCAACACAAATCTACAAATGTACAGTATATAGAGTTACACAATTTTAATTTAGCATATATATTTGATCTGAACATAAAGAGAATAGAATGAAAATTTGTTTTGTACAGGAAAAGATAGGGGGGGGGGGGGGGGGGGTTAGAAGAGTAGAGAATAGGATTAGAGAGATTAAGTTGGAACGGATTAATTTTATTGTCTATTTTTAGAAGTTTGTTTATACTGTGTTTCCAAACATGAGTTTTCGGTGAAGAAAAGTACTTGTGTGACCATGAGATTTTTATTGCATTTGTAAATGTGAAAATATCTGGAGCGTTCAGCCCTCCACTATCAATTGGAGAGCATAAAATTTCCCTTTTTATTTTTGCTGGTTTATTTTCCCATATAAATTCAAAGAAATTTCGGTCTAATTCCTTAAGATATTCTCGTGTAGGATTTGGTAAAATCGATAGTTGGTATAAAATTTTAGGAAGAGCTAATGATTTGATAATACTTATTTTACCGCATAGAGTATTAATTTTACCTTTAAATAGACCTAATGTGTTTTTTATTTTTACCAATTTTTTGTCATAGTTCAGTTTTATGATGTCTTGTAATTTATTGTTTACTGGAATATATATTCCTAAGATTTTAATTACATCAGTGATAGGTCGTATGTCATTAGGAATTTTATACGGAAAATCTTTACTTGTGATACTCCCAATTCTAGCTAATTCGCATTTTTCTAAATTCGGTTTTAGGCCACTAATTTTGCCAAAATTGTCAAGTATTTTCAAAACGGTTTTAAAAGTTGTTAATTTAGTATCTAATAAAAGGGTTGTATCGTCTGCAAATTGTGAAACCTTTTTGGTTGAATTATTGATTTGTATAGTGGGTTATTTCTTAAAACAGATGCTAGTATTTCTGCGCATAATATGAATATATATGGCGATAGAGGACAACCCTGTCTCACACCCCTGCAGATTGCAAAAGGATTTGATGCCCATCCATTGTTTAAAGGTTAGTCCACACGAGCAAGTTTTCATTGACAATTTTTCCTTAACAAGGAAAGCTTGCTCGTGTAAACGACAAAATTTGCCGAAATCCACTGGTTGAACAAGCCAAAATTTCACTTGTTGGAAAACTGTGCATGCCAGTTTTCCAACCAGCGATTTGCTGACCCTTAATGACCCAGCAATGAAGAATTGCTCGTGTAAACGCACCAGCAAGGAAAACCTGCCACAAATCTGGGCACGCATCCACTTTTACTTCCGTTTTATTGTTTTTTTTGCACGTCGATCCTGCAAATCGGGTAAAAATGCTCATGTGGACCGACCAAGCCGTTCAAATATTGTTAGATGGTTTGCAGAATCACGAGTGTTTATGGAATTTGAAAAGTAAAGACTACAAGGATAGAGGAATGAAAAGGATTGCCCTCGGTGACTTGTTGGAAAGTTTGAAAAAAGAGATATTGGACTTTGAAGGGGATGTAGATGCCATAAAGGCGAAAATTCAAAGTCTGCGAACTACATACAGAGAAGAATTGGGCAGAGTACGAAAGTCACAGGGTACTGGATCTGGGGCGGCTGATATTTATACGCCAAAATGGAAATTTTTTTAATTCCTGCAGTTTTCTCGAAGGAGTTGTTGCAGTGGACTCTGGTGCTACTGTATCAAATCTTACAAATTTGCAAAATAATGAAGATGACAATGATGGTGAGGGAGAAAATTCCAGGGATCTAGATCGTACACCTACACCTGAAACACCAAAGCTACCACACATCCAATCAAAGCGTCGAAAGAGAGAATCAACACCAGTATCAACAACTCACACATGGATGGATACAGCTAGTCATGCCCTGAAGACTCTGGCTGACAGTGCTAAAGAAACAACAGATGAATGGGATGATTTTGCCAAAGATGTGGCAAATACTTTGAGAGGGATTCCCAACAAGTCGACGCAGCGAAGAACTAAGTTTGCCATACAGAAAATCTTGTTTGATGCCAGGGAGAGTGATGACCATTTTATCGCCCCACAACAATCAGCACAACCACAAACCCAGTGGGTTGCACCCAATTACAATCCGAACAACACCTGAAGTTATATGCATGTATCTCCAGTCAAATACATGCAAATTGGAGGGGCATGGCCAAATGGAAATTAATATCACTTCATCTTCATGAAAGGACAATGATCAGACCTCTCGTTTATAAATCGTTCTTATTTCACCCTGACCTTTGTAGTTGATATCAATTTCTGTGAAATTGAAGGGAAATTTAATCGGTCATTCTCCACTGAAAATCTACAGCGCCTTCTTCGAAAAAATACTCTTTCAAATTGTCCCTGATTTCACGAGCTATAGAGGTAGATGGGCGAACAGAACGAGTTGCATTCAAGTCACAGACTTCTCCTTCTATCAAGTTCCTCCATGTACCTGGTACAATGATGCCATCTTCTAATTCACGATCCATGAATCCTTCAGGGCAATAATTCCTGGTTTGGGTTCGGAGTAGAAGGTTATGCAGTACAATGCATGCTCTGGTCACAGATATAGCATTCTCAGGACTTAGTTCCATGGTTCTCAGCAAAATTCTGAAGTGCGCTGACATTACCCCAAATGCATTCTCCACGATTCTACGGGCCCTTGATAATCGATAATCGAACACTTTTTCGTCGCCGATAGCTGATCGATGAGCATAAGGTTTCATCATTGATGGAAACAGAGCGAAAGCCTCATCTCCAATCAGAAAATAAGGTATGGATCCCTAATTACCTATGGCACGAGGTGGTGGAATGTCTGGTGAATCGAACATTGATGATAACAGACTGTCCTTCAATACACCTCCATCAGACACTGATCCTGGGCAGCCCAAATCAAATGCAGTGAATGTTGCATTGGCATCAGCTATGGCCAGTAATACAATGCTGAACTCCTTCTTATAATTGAAGAACTGCGAACCTGTGTTTGAGGGACAGCGAATTTTGACATGCTTACCATCAATGGCTCCAAGGCAATGCGGAAACTGTCACTGCTCCTTGAAATTTTCAGCGATAGCAAGCCATTTTTCAGTAGAGTCAGGAAATTGGCAGTATCTGTCCTTCAACACATCGTAAATTACATCACAAACTTCTGGTACAAATTCACTGATAGTAGATTTTGATATCCTGAATGAGTACATCAGTTCTTTATAAAATCGCAGAGTTGCAGCTAATTTGTCCTTTGCTCTGATTGCCATGCGCATGACTGTATCTTCTTTTGTTATAGATGGTTTTACTAATGACAGAAGTTCATCAAAACATTTCGTATCCAATCTGAAAAAGTTCTTGAAACTATCTGGGTCAGTTTCCCTAAGTTCCGGAATAAGGTTTGCCCCGAGGCCCTGGGCTTGTCCTTTTTCTTCACTTGCCCATGGTTTGACCCACCATCTCCTCTCTATTCCTTTCTTGTTGATGGTGTTGTCATAGTGGTACTGCATAAGCATGCATAATCCAACTCCAGTCGCACATTTCACTGTATTCCTCCTCACAATTTTCGGCATTGCACTTTTACTTTGAACTTGAAAAAACTAAACACAAAGTATTAGATAACTATATTGGATCGGTAATTTGAAGACTGGAACCACAGAAGTGACACTATAAACGAAAATGCCGAAGTCGTCACTATAAACTAAAAATAACAACGGCCATTTTGTTGTGATTTTCATTAGGGTCGCCAGATGGCAGCACTCCCCAACAAGGAAAAATTGTTGGGTGCGTCCACACGAGACGAAGTGACAAATCCTTGCTCAACCATTGAACAATTTTCCTTGTCAATGAAAACTTGCTCGTGTGGACTAAGCTTAAAACGCTACTTGTTATGTTAGTGTAAAATAATTTTATCCATCTTTTAAACATTTTTCCAAAGCCAAAGAAATCAAGTGTTTTATCGATAAAGTCCCATCAAAAGCTTTTTGAAAATCAATTTGGAATAACATCGCTTCTTCATTATTTTCTTCTAAATAATCGATTATATCAAAGAGTTCTCTTAGGTTTTCACCAATGTATCGCCCTTTAATGAAGCCTTTCTGGTCTTCGTGTATGGTATTATTAAGTATTTTTTTGATTCTATTGGCTATTACTTTAGTTAATATTTTATAATCGCAATTTAGAAGACTTATAGGTCGCCAATTTTTAATATATTTTGTGTCTTTGTCTGATTTTGGTAACAGAGATATAATTCCATGTCTTTGTGAAATACTTAATTGATTTTTATGGAAAGAGTCATTAAAAGAATTAAGAATAAAAGGACATATTTCTTTCCAGAAGATTTTATAAAATTCAATACAAATACCACTGCTTCCCGGACATCTACCGTTTTTAAATGATTTTATAACTTCTCTACATTCCATATCTGTTATTGCACCTTCACAGATGTATCGATCTGTTTCAGTAAGTTTGGGAATATCGTCTTCACATTGTTTAAAGAAATAATCCATTTCTTGATCAAATTCATGATCAATTATTGTTTTCGAGTCATAAAGATTTTCGTAAAATATTTTGATTTCATGCAAGATTTCATTTGGATTAGTTATAATGCTATCTGATTTATTATAGAGAGTAGAAATTACTTTTTTTTGACTATTTCGCAGTTCAAGGTTCAAATAAAATTTACTGCGATTTTCAGGATCTACAAGATTTTTTGCCCGCGCCCTCATCATAACTCCTGCTAGTTTGCGCTGATTTATTTCTTCTAGTTTTATGTGAATATTTTGGATTTCGTTATAATCTGTGAAAGATATGGGTTGTTGTTGTAAAATGATTTTTTGTTTTGCTTCCAGTTCATTTTCAATTTTAAAATCACTTTTCCTTTTTCGACTTAAATATTGGATAGTTTCACCTCGTATATCTAATTGTATTAATTCCCATAAAGTTTGTGGGTCGCAACCGAGATACTTTTCTTTGCAATCGTTGATCAGTTTTCTAATATTTTCGATATATTCCGAGTCTAAAAGTAATGTCGGACTTATTTTAAAGAATTCTGGTCCCTTTTTGTGTTTATCTAAGTTGCATTTGAAGTAAATTAGGCTATGGTCAGATCGATAGCCATGTTGGCTATCACATACAGTAATTTTATTAGTAATATCATTTGTTGAAAAAAACATATCCGGTCTTGAACAGATAATAGGTTTATTTCTTTTCCAAGTGTAACACTTTTTAGTAGGATGTAATGTTCGGTAAACGTCATTTAAATTAAGTAAATCCATATATTGTATTATTGTCTGCCTAGATTTTGCGTTAGTTTTTAATTGCCCTCCATATTTATCTAAATTAAAGTCCATTATAAAATTGAAATCACCTCCTATAATTAGAGGAGAAGTTGCATGGTTCGAAAGGTTTTGAAAAATCTTCTCAAAAAAATCTGGATTGTCTGTATTTGGTCCGTATACATTTGATATAATAAGTGAGCTACTATCTTTAGTTTTAAACATAGGTATTTACCTGGTATTTCTTGTAATAGTTCAATCTCTTGAAAGTTGGCATTATGGAATAGAATTGCCACACCAGTTGTACGCTTAGGTCGTTGACCGGAGCTCATAATGAATACCGACACACAGACACGAGTAAAGTCGAGTCTTGCCTTAGGATAAATTCTGCACCATCAATAACTACAACGGAGACGCCATATTGGATTCCAGAATCTGTAAATCATACCACAGTTGAAGTTTCTGCAGTTTAAAAGTGAATAACTTCAACCGAAAGAGTTAACAACACCAAATTAAAATTCAATAAATGCCGGAAAACTGTCATAAGGTAAATGGAGGTGAATTATAAGAAGAATACTTGAAAATTCTTAGAAAAAGTGGTTAATCAAAGAAGCAGTCTGTAGTCAAGATGGCAGAAGACAAGACTGACCACGTGACTATTTGCGCGCGATTAGCAGACGATGCTTGTAGTTTAAGTTATAAACCACTCCTATATACATAGGATTCAAGTAAAACAACATCACCCAGCAATATTGCCTAAACCATTCCTTTAACATCCCCTACAGTAAGAAATAAGCCCAACAATATCCACTAACAATCCTACAACATCCCCTACTACAAGTCCTTGAACATCACCTAATAATAAACAGTCCTACAACATCCTCTACTACAAGCCCAACAAACGTCTCTTACCACCACTCAGGTATTACAAGTCTAACCACTCCAACTTCCAGTCCAAAAACATGACTCACAACCCATCCTACAAGATTCCCTACCACCAGTCCAACAATCTCTCCGTCTACTATTCCATCAATCTCCCCTTTTACTGGTCCAAAAGCAACTCCTATCACCAGTCCAACTATATATCCACCTACTAGTCCAATAACATCGACGACCACCAGTCCAACATCATCACCCACTACCAGTGCACCCCTCCCCCCCTTTCTGCTAGTCCGACAACATCACCCACTACTAGAAGGGGACGATGTAGGACTATTAGTAGGAAATGTTGTTGGATTCTTAGTAAGAGATGATGTTTTTGGACTGTTTATTATAAGGTCTTGTTTAAGGACTTGTAGTGGAGGAAGTTGTTGGACTTAGTAGTAGGGAATGGTGTAGATTTGTAGGACTGGTCGTGGGGGATGTTTTTGAACTGGAAGTAGGAGATATTTAAAGATGGGTTTCGTTATATTTTTAGTGTCAAATTAGGTAAACTATTTGATTAATTGGTGTTTCTAATGAATCATCATGTATTCTTAATCATATCATTATGTTCTTATCGCATATATATAAGAGTTTTAACCAATAATAAATGTCCATGTAAGACAGTCTGGAAAAACAAAAATAATACTTTTTGACCTTTCTTGATCGGTCACTCATTTAGCTAATTAAGAAATCATTATGGACATGTTAGACAAACTGTTACTTTTCCAAGTCATTAGAATACCTCTACTTTCTATTCATGAATATAAGTATTAGCATTTTCATAAACGGAAAAAAGGGAACCCATCGTTAAGGACTGGTAGTAGAAGAAAAGTAGAAGTAGAGGATGTTCGACTAGTAGTAGGAGATGATTTAGAAATGGTAGTAAGGAGTGTCATTGGACTAGTATTACAAAAGATTATTGGACTGGTAGTAGGGGGTGTTATTGGACTTGTATTAGGGGAAATTATTGGACTAGTATTACAAAAGATTATTGGACTAGTAGTAGGGGGTGTTATTGGACTTTTAGTAGGGGATGTTATTGGATGATTATTACAAAGGATTATTGGACTGGTAGTAGGGTGCGTTATTGGACTTGTATTAGGGGATGTCATTGAACTAGTATTACAAAAGATTATTGGACTGGTAGTAGGGTGTGGTATTGGACTTGTTTAAGGGGATATTATTGGACTTGTATTACAAAAGATTATTGGACTGGTAGTAGGGGGTGTTATTGGACTTGTAGTAGGGGATGTAATTGGATTAGTATTACAAAAAATTATTGGGCTGGTAGTAGGGTGTGTTATTGGACTTGTAATATGGGGATGTTATTTTATTAGTATTACAAAAGATTATTGGACTGGTAGTAGGAGATGTCGCTGGTTTTGTATTGGGAGGTGATGATGGATTTGTGGTAGGAAAATTGGTTGGACTGGCAGTAGAGGATGTTAATGGATAAGTATTACAAAAGATTATTGGACTGGTAGTAGGATATGTCGCTGGTTTTGTATGGGGAGGTGATAATAGATTTGTGGTAGGAAAATTGGTTGGACTGGCAGTAGAGGATGTTAATGGATAAGTATTACAAAAGATTATTGGACTGGTAGTAGGATATGTCGCTGGTTTTGTATGGGGAGGTGATAATAGATTTGTGGTAGGAAAATTGGTTGGACTGGCAGTAGAGGATGTTAATGGATAAGTATTACAAAAGATTATTGGACTGGTAGTAGGATATGTCGCTGGTTTTGTATGGGGAGGTGATAATAGATTTGTGGTAGGAAAATTGGTTGGATTGGTAGTATAGAATGTTAATGGACCGGTAGATTGGAGATGTTGTCGAACTGGTAGTAGGAGATGCCTACGGACTGGTGGTAGGGGACGGGACAGACTGGTAACTGTAAATGTTGTCGGACTGGTGGTAGGGGCTATTGTATGACTGGTAGTAGGCGATGGTTTTGGACTAGTAATAGGGGAGATTGATGGACTGGTATAGTAGGGGATATTTTAAGACTGCTAGTGAAGATGTTGTTGGACTGGTAGAAGCGAAGGTTGTTTGACTGTTTATTATAAGTACTATTATTTATTTTGGAAACCAGTAATAACAAACTTTACCAACACCAGAATTCGTGAAACAATTATAATTGTTTCTCCACAGGGAATAAAAACCGTCATAAAAGAGTTCCTTGACCCTGAAAACATATATTTTGACACCAACATTATATTTATTGGTGCCCTAGAAGCAAAGTTGTGACAAAATTAGTACTCAGAATATCGAGGATGGCAGCCATTTTGAATTTGGTCCATGAAAAAATTTATCCAAGGGTGCCAAAGTGGCACCCGGTGGAAATGTGTTCAGAAGGGTTATCTGAAGCAGAAAAAACAATAAAACATTGCATGTGCTCAAAAACATACTTTCATCAAAATCTGGTGTTTGGCCACCAGTCTACTATTAATATACAGTCAAGTAACCTAATTTCGTGCTAACCTATTTTTCGTGCATTTCCGGAAATGATTAATAATTCACATGTGCGACCTCCCGTCACCTCCGCATTTGTTTGTTTCGATAAACATGTGTTATCTCTACAATATCAGCTAGTAGAATGAATCCAGTAGTTTCAAGCAAGGTAAAATGTATTAATGTATACTTTGACAAATACAAAATGGCAGATTTCACTTATTACCAAACGTCACCATTTTTTATCGGCAGAATCTCCCTATAATCCCACGCGGTAATCGGAATTCCAAATGAAGTCACGTGATCAACTAGCGGATTCCGTGTAAGCAGAAAATTTCTATGGAACACAAAGTGGACCATATTCTTCTGTTGTTTCAGTGACTTTCAGCAATAAATCACGCTACGTATCTTATTTTGTCAGTCACTATTTTTTTTTAAAATCGTGGTTCTTTGAAGGACTTGTCACTAGTTATAATGAATTTATATTAAATATAAATACTAAGAGAAGTTAATTATACCACTGGGTATGTATACAACGTGTTTTTCTCGACTTATTTATAGATCAAACATTGTACACGAAAAATAGGTGACGCATTCTGCCGCCGTTGTCGAGTTGGTTACTCATGAAATATGGGTTAAAGTGAAGGATTCATAAAGAAAATCGAAACAAACCAATTTTGATTATTTTGTAAAATATCAGAGGAAACATCTAAGACATAAAAAAAATTTGGTTTTTTTAACTTTGACGAAATTCGGTGTTGAATCCTTATATGCAGGAAAATAGGTTACACCACTGTACCATTTAATTAACTTTCAACACAGCCATCATGTATGTGATGAAAGCTTATTATAAATCAAATTCAAGTTGTATCAAAAATGCAATCACAATAAAATATCACATCAAAATTGATTTACATTTCCATTTTCATCCAGATCTGTTAAAAAATAGCGTCAGTGTCAAAACCAGAAGTATAAAACTATATAAAAAGTGTTTATAGTACAAAACAAACAAAAGGTGTTCGTCGTATAAAACCAAAAAATAAGTGCAAGGGTTTTATAAGAAAAAACAATCAAGGAGTGTTCGTAGTATAAAACCAAACAAGAAGTGGTCGTAGTATATAAAACTATACAAAAATTGGATATAGTATAAAACCAAACAAGACTATACAAGGAGTTTTCGTAGTATAAAACCAAACAAGAAGTGTTCTTATTAAAAGACCAAACGAAAAGGAGTTTTCGTAGTACAAAACCAAACAAGAAGTGGTCGTAGTATAAACCAAACAAGACTTGTTCTAGTTTAAAACCAAACAAGAAATAGTGTGCACTGTTCGTGGTATAAAACCAAACAAAAATTGTTCGTGAAACAAGAAGTGGCTGTAGTATAAAAGCAGACAATAGGTGTTCTAGTTTGAAACCAAGCAAAAGGCAAAAGTGTTTGTTTATAGCATTAAACAAGCAAAAAATAGTATAAAACCAGGCAAAAAGTGATCGTAGTATAAAACCATCAAGAAGTATTTATAAAACTAGACAAGAAGTGAATTAGTACAAAAACAAACAAGAAATAGTTTCAAATCGGACAATAAGTGTTTGTAGTATAAAACCAAACAAGAAGTGTTCGTAAATTACACTCGAAGTGTTCGTAGTATACAACCAAACAAGGGGTATTATACAACTAAACAAGAAGTAGTATGCAACCAAACAAAAAGTAGTATACAACTAAACAATAAGTAGTATACAACCAAACAAGAAATAGTATACAACCAAACAAGGGGCACTATACAACTAAACAAGAAGTAGTATACAACCAAACAAAAAGTAGTATACAACTAAACTATAAGTAGTAAACAACCAAACAAGAAATAGTTTCAAATCGGACAATAAGTGTTTGTAGTATAAAACCAAACAAGAAGTGTTCGTAAATTACACTCGAAGTGTTCGTAGTATACAACCAAACAAGGGGTATTATACAACCAAACAAGAAATAGTATACAACCAAACAAAAATAGCGATCGTAACACGCCCACATTTGTAATGGCAGCTACTTTGTCCGGGAGATTGACAAGAGTTATCAGTAAATGAATGTTTCTGAGAGTGAAATTTTCATATTTAATGGGTGTTGTTTACAGCTTTTTTTTTTCCAAGTGGGATTAATTTAATATGTCAAGTTTCATTTAATCCATATAGAATTGAATCTTTTGAGTAGCAGCAAGTGGCAAATCTTTGTGTTAAGACAGTTACATATTTGTGGCAGTTGTATATATATATATAGGCAAGTAGTCCATTAGATACAACATTTGTCTAGGCCTCCGATTTTCAATAGGGTTCATCCTTGAGTGATTACACAGGCTAACTCTATGCATTCAGCTAATGATCACTGTTAAAATTTTCATTCAAGGGTAATAACTCATAGTAAATATTATTCAATTTCGCTGATTTTCAATAGGGTTCAGTCGACTGTCAAAATTTAGCTGAACATGAAATGATCAAAACATGATTAAATGATATATATAACGAAGAAGCACAAGATGCTATAATAAGGTCTAAATTACAGTATTATCATGAAGGAGACAAAAAATTCAAAATTCTTTTTAAGTTTAGAAAAACAAAAACAAAAATCTACATGTATATACAAATTACAAAGTGAAAAGGAAAATTCCTTACTCGATAAACCAAAAGAAGTCCTCACACATATTGAGAATTTTTATAAAAATTTGTTTTCACTTAAAACTCAATCAAAAAATAGCTATATTGATTTTCTGAAATATAACATTGATCAGATTAGATGGTGACGAGGCTGACTGTCTTGAGGTTAAATTAGGAATGCAAGGAAGTTTTTAAGTCGTTTAAACTGAATTCTTCTCCCGGAAACGACGGCCTCACTTACGAATTCTATTCGTGTTTCTGGCCAATCATAGGTAACCATGTTTTAAACTCTTTCAATGAAGGATTTGATGAAAAATGCTTATCAAACTCTCAAAGACAATCCATCATTAAACTTGTTCCTAAACCAGGTAAAAACAAATTAGATTTAGGCAATTGGCGCCCAATATCTTTAATCAACGTAGATACCAAAATAGCTCGTAAAATTTTATATAATCGAGTGAAATACTTCTTAAAAAAATTGATCTATCCCAACCAAACAGGATTCACACCAGGTAGACATATTAATGAGAATATTAAAATTTTGATGACTGTTGTACTTTAGCACAGCAAAGACGTATTAACGGGTTTTTCCAAGGCATACGATTCTTTTAACTAATGCCTAGTTCACACCAACGGCGAATGCCGCGCTTTAAATCGGCGAGCAAAGCGCCATCATTTTTCGTTTACTTTTCAAAAAATATCACGATCTCCTAAATAATGTTACAGCTCTGATAAGCTCTGATACGAATTGGTTACGCTTTGGGGACAAATTATTTCCCGATTTGATCAGGCCTTGTTACGCTTTAAATCACGCTTTGATAAGCTTTATTAAGCTTTGATGCGGTTATGACGCTTTAAATCACGCACTGATACGATTATCAAGCTCTGTTGTGCATTGTTAAGCTCTGTTACGCATTGGAAAATTTGGAAATGGCCAATTTCATGCCGCTCTTGATCAAGTGGTGACAGACCGTGAAGACTGGGGTCCCCGCTTTGAATAAAACTCTTTTAAGCTTTCCTACGCTTTGAGTCAAGCTTTGCTGAACTTTGTTACGCTTTGTTAAGCTTTTATACGTTCTCGGCGCTTTAATCAATTCGTGACAGAGCGCCCAAAATTTTTAAACAGTTTAAAAAATTTTGGCGCTCTTGCCGAATATCCAGCTTTGCTCAAAGCTTTCCAACGATCTATTACGACCCTGGCGCTTTAGTCGAGCTTTGTTACGCTTTGGTACCGCTTTGAACGTCGCTTTAAAGCGCCATCAAAGCGCCATTGGTGTGAACTGAGCATTAGACAATTTGGCTTCAAAAAGATGCTTTTACGTTGGATTAGTACTCTATACAATGAAATCGAATGTTCTGTAATGAACAATGGTTACACGACAAAATATTTTCCTATTGAAAGAGGAGTAAGAAAAGGTGACCCGATCTCTCCAATACTCTTTAATTTAGCTATAGAAATAGTATGCATATTTATCAGAAATGATAGGAATTATAGTGGTATATCTTTTGGTGACAAAACCCTGAAAATAATAGCATTTGCTGACGACCTTACATGTCTATTAAAAGATTTTAAGACTGCTCGACATTTAATTGAGGTTCTGAATCAATTTAAACTTATCTCTGGTTTATCTATCAACTTGAAGAAGCAGAAGCTTTTGATTTGAACAGTGGCATAAACAGTTTAGAAAACAAAATAAATAGCACTGGGTTGAACTTTTGTACCTCT